ATATTATTGTGTTTCTTCGAAGAGGTTCTCTCTGTTGAAATGAAATCTGAATTATTTCACTCTGACTTCAATTCCTTTTTTAATATATTTTTCGAATCTACCATTTTGGGACGCAGCGTGTATTCTGGAAGAGGCTGTACCCGTGTCTCACTCTTTCGCCACTGAGTGAACGTTTTGATGCACCGTCTACTCCGTAATCGGGGATAAACGGTGATTGCATAATGATCGCGATGCGGAAGACGCACATGCATGCATGCAATGCCTGTACGACGCTGCCCCCGGCAGATGCGGTGCCCCAGTGCCGGTCGAAACGGTCGCAATCAAGCCTGTACGAGGGTTGCACCCGAGGGGGGCTCCAACAAACCGATTACAACGACTTTTTGTCGAATTATATCAGAAGATCCTGCATTATAGATCACCGGACGATGTTGCACCGCGTTAACGAATAGAAACGTCCAGGGCGGTGAGAAAAATAGAAAACGAGCCCCGAGACAGTGACGAATCAAACGTGTTCAAAAGTGATAAATGTTTTCGAGGTACCATCCTCGTTTCGCGAATCCAGAGCATTAAAGCCTCCATTCCCGCCATTATCTGCGTTCCTTTGCTTGCAACGTCTTTCATGTTCGATGATAGAGATGCATCGGTGCACATACATATGTATCGACCACTATTTATGTATGTATGTGTGTGTGTGTGTGTGTGTGTGTGCACTTGCGTACATACTCTTCAGTTCAGTCGAACGCATTACCGATTACGACACCGTTCTACGAAACCTTTTTCGCAACTTTATCCGAACCGCGCGCTCACCCTCGCAGCCTGCCATAATCTTTGAATAGGAGGAATAGCATCCGGGTATTATCGATTGTTACTCATGATTGTTCCCCGTTTTACTCGTCTCACCTCTACTGTCATTAACGTGATACACTTTACAGGTTGTGTAAGAGAATTCAAATAGTCATAAATAGGTTTTTATTTATTCATGAGGAGACATTAGTGTGCAATTTTTAATATTTGCATATTATCTGCAGGATCATGTGTTGTGATGTTTGATGAGGAAAACCAAGGAATATTTAACAATGAGATTCGTTCTCGTAGATTAAATTTTAAATACTTCATTCTGTTTTTATTCTCATTAACGTGATACACTTTGGTTGTGTAAATGTGAATATTTTT